AGTAGCAGGTTCTGTACACATAGACCGCGAATGAGAACGTCAAAAGACAAACTCCTGGCATATTCACCCTCCCTGAGAGCTAGAGGAACTCGGGCACACCCTTAATGATAGCAAGCACCAACAGCAACCAAGTATTTCACTGAATTCTCTTTCAGGAATTGCTTAGAAGCAATCTGATGACGTTTTAACGAATCCCTGACTCGTTTCAGCATCAAATGTCATCAAAAAAAGCTTCACTCGCAAAGTCGAACACACAAATTCCCTTACAAGAGAGGAGTACTACTTGCCATGGCGCTATGCCAGGATAAGAGAATCGAAAATAATTGTGAGAAGACGTAAAATCTTGAAATAGGCGTAAATAATTCAAGTCCTCCTAAACCGTACGAATTTTCTGAAATTTACCTCGGCCAGTTTTTCGTTGTTCGGCCTTCAGCTTCTTCAACTCCATCGCTTTTTGAGTCATTAGCTCATTGGCAGCTCGTTCTTGCGCCTATAATCATCACAAACGAAACGAGGTTCTAAATTACTAAATTACATCTGCCAGCATCCTGCTGAAAGAAAAAACGTACAATTTTGATTTGATTGAACACTCTTTCCTCATGTGAATCCATCTCAGTGAATGTACGAATCTGCGCGAGGTTGACATTTTCGCGATATCCGAGTGCAACAATTTCATCAAATGCAAATATTAGCTCGAACAAATTCGCTTGAATTTCTTTTTCGTCGTTTGAACGGCAATATTCTGGTATCTGAAAATGTAATCCATAAGCTTCAAAATATCATCATTGAGAGGCATTTTCATGTGTTTTTTGTGAGTTGAAGAAGAAAACACAGACTCGCACAAAACCAGCAGGTATTACGAAACTGATAACAGGATGAAAGAGTCCACATTTTAAACATTCGCGGAAAAGAAATCCTAACAGGTCATGTTTTCGTTGTTTATTTTTATCATTACTTGTTATAGTGCAGAAAAAAGAAAGAAAGCACTGGCGGATCCAGGAGCCCTTTCGCCCCCCACCCCTTCCCAACCGTCGTCACAGATTAGGGCAGACAACCGGGGACGGAATGAGAAAAAGGGAGGGGGGCCAAGACTGGGAAAGGGGTGGAGAGGTTGCCGATGTAGTAACGGACGAGGAGGGGATAAGGAGAAAAATCCTCACCTCCAGGAGTTCACCCTGGATCCGTCAGTGAAAGAAAGCGAAAGCATGAAGTCTCAGTGCGAGAAAGAGGAGATATCTGTATGCGTACCCATATCTAAACAATAATTCAGTGCTCCTCTTTCCGCCATGGTAATCTTATTGTTTTCACAAATTTCTTGCAAAATTCTCGAACAATCAGCGAAAACAATAAAAATGCCAGAGTGAAAAAAGGAGGAACATAAAAGAGGGTTAGGCATAGATATATCCGTAATCGACGTATGACTAAAATATCGATAAAAAATCCGAAGAGTTTCAACTTTGCTCCCGATTCTTATAAAAAAGGCAGTTCAGCGAAACATCCAATTTTTATCGCAAAAAAAAAAAAAAAAAACAAAAGCATGGCCATGGTTACGTGTTTTTGCTACAAACTAATACAGGGCCACATTCGATGATTGCGATAAAACGAAAATGAGTTCTGATCATTCAACATTTCTTAAGTTTTGTTCCACATTAACTAGCCAACTATTTTTCCTATCACAGTTCACTAGCAAATTCCACCCTCCCACCCTTAGAACTTAAAGGATTCACTCGTTACGAATATTCCTTGGCTGTATGCCAAGTTATTTCATCAGGTATGATTTGGCCTATAACGGCCGTAAACAAGCACTCGTCAATTCCACCGTCTTCTTTTTCGGCCCTACTTGGACCGTTCAATTTTTTGTTCGGCCTTTCATAACCCCTCTATTCTTTTATCCTGTTACGATGGTTTTTTGGTTTATTCATTGAGCGTATAATTGAAAATGTAAAATATGGTTCAAGGCACTGCTGTACCTGGCATGAGGCCCTGAGCGTATATACAGCTAAGGGACTAAGTTCTCAAAAACTAGATCTCCTAATTTTCATAATCCTGCAGACACACCCACATAGGCTTGCTCTCAACACAGCGCTTTTATGTACGATTTTTGCAAAATTGCATGAGAATCAGCTGTGATTCGAACATATATTATTCA